TTGAAAAACAAGGTTTTCGATATAACCAACAAACAAATTGGCATAACTAGAGCCCAGCTTAGTACCCATAGCAACACCGTTTACCTGCCGATAATAACGATCTGATTGGTCAGTTTTATTCCCGGTTAGTGTGCGGAAAAATTAGAGTATTTATACATATCAACGACTGGACATTAGATACCATAGGAAATTATATAGGGAAACAAAGACGCGCGCAAAGAAAAATGTTCTAGTTTATTTCTTATCGATATGTTTACTCTTTTGTATTACAGAGAACATTATCTTGACCTCGAATTTTTTTTTAAAAATTGATTTTTCCGATTTTATTTTTCCACCATTCTCTTTTATTTCAATTGGCTTTCCTGTGGTTCTAGAAGCGCTGATCCGACGTAATGTCGCAGTACATTTTTGATCGATTGTTTTCACTCGTGTTTTGGAGGACACTAATTTGACCAAGAATAAAAATTAATAGTTGAATCGAATTTTTCTTATCTTATTTTCACCTTTTACTTTTATCTAAATCGGGCTCCCTGTGCTTATCAACTATTTGTGTATTTGGGTTCCCTGTGTATTGTCTCCATTCATGTCGTGACAAGATGTGGGAGCGTTGCGCGACGACCGACACTTAAAACGGATGCGAGGAAGACTAGACATAGTCTAACATAACAAGTCTTGGTCGTCGTGACGCGACTTTATTTTGCAATCTTGTGGGTAAATGAAACAATCCGGTCTGACGGTAAAACAAGGTAAAAAGTATTATCCATAAGATATCTACTAAGGCAATGGATTGGGAAATTCTAAAACTATCTAAGTGGCAGAATCTAGGATATCTATATAAACGTAAAATAGCAACAGAGGTCTTTAAGATCAAAGAGTCTGATTATAGATTGTCACAAAATTTCAACTTCATTACAACTGAAAGAAAAGGTGTTTTAGATTAGAGTTAGTTACCGAGAACGGAGGCAATAAGCCATATACATCCCGAGGGCCGCAGGCCCGAGGGATGTATAGGCTTATTGCCGACGTTCTCGGTAATTACAGTCAAACAAGCTCAAGCATTGACCCCTAGATTCGATTAATGAAATCATTAGGCAATTATTCCTTTTATACGTACGAACCGGAATAATGCAATATTGCAATATTCAAATGAAAATTCAGTTCATTATTCGACTCGTGATGAAAAAATGTTATCCAGATTGCTAAAGACCTTGAGAAGGTGAAAGCCAAGAAGGCCTCTGGTCCAGACGGCATTTCATCACAAGCCTTATCCCTGATAAAATCTTCTGCTGCTAATGGTCTATTTACAGTCTTCCACAAAAGCTCATGTTTGAACAAATTTCCTGATATATGCAAACAAGCCAAAATTACTCCAGTTCATAAAAAAGGTTCCTTCTCTGAAGTTTCAAATTACAGGCCAATTTCTTTACTCAGCATTCCTGGAAAGCTCCTAGAAAATCAAATTTGCTCTATCATTGATAGTCATCTACAAGATTGTGGCCTTCTAAGTAAGCACCAATGGGGCTTTAGAAAAGGACTCTCTTCAGAGGACTTACTTCTCACCATGACAGAAAAGTGGAAGCTAGCTATGGAAAAAGGCCTAACTGTTGGAGCTATATTTATCGACTTTAAAAAAGCTTTTGACACTATGTCACTTGAAATCCTATCCTTAAAGCTCAATGCAGTTGGCATCTCTGGTCCATTACATCAGTGGCTAATGAACTACCTACTTGATAGATATCAATATACAGAAGTAAACAACAAAAGATCTGTCCTTCTTCCTATTAGATTTGGTGTCCCTCAGGGATCCTTGCTTGGCCCAAGACTGTATACTATCTATACTAATGACCTACCTGATCAAGTAAAAGACGGCTCTGTCATGATGTACGCTGATGACACTACAATCTACTTAATCGGGTCAAGTGTTGCCCAAGTTATTTCATCTCTAAATGGTCTTATGGTACAGATATCTAAGTGGTGCTCTTTAAATAAATTGACAATCCACCCTTCCAAAACTGAAGCTATGATATTGAAAAAGCAACAGTTTATTGGTCCTTTGCAGCCTTTACACTTTGGCCCTGGCTTTGTGAAGTTTGTCAATTTCACAACCTGTCTTGGTGTTACAATTGATAACAGACTCTCTTGGCATGCACAAGTGGACGTAGTTAGAACTTCTTTTTCCAAAAAAGTTGATGCTCTAAGAAAAATGTCACATTTACCTAAGTTAGCCCTAGAAGAAATATATTTTAAAACAATTATACCTAGTGTTACTTATGGAGTATCGGTGTGGGGAAATTGTTCCCCATCACTACTTAATAGTTTAGATCATATACATGCTCGAGCATGTCGTATAATTAATCATCTTCCTTCTTCATTAGAAAGTAGTTTATGCTTGTCTCAATGTAACTGGCTTCCTATAMATTATTTATWWAAGAGACGCATATTACTTAAGATGCATCAAGTTTTCACAGGGGCTGCCCCTAGCCAAATTTTGGATTTATTTTCTAAATCATCTAGATCAACAAGATTCAGTAATCAATTAAATATCATTCGGGTAAAGTCTGAATTAGGCAGGAGTTCTTTACAATATAGGGGTCCAAATATCTGGAATTTTATAAATAAGAAAGTCAAACTTACTAATACTATCAGTAAAGAAGGGTTTAAAGCAATCTTAAGAAAGCATTCTAAAGATATTCTCCAATTTTCATTTAACAAAGAAGCTATTGTTGTTTCAAATAAGAAGGATGATTTTATTTATTATTAAGCCTATTATTAAGTTTATTTTAGTATTTTATTTATTTTTTATTTATTTAATTTACATATAATATGTACACCTGCTTGTTGGAGCTCTGTCATGGGGGGATGGTGGCCTGGATTGCTTGTGTCCCCTTTCTTCCTGTGGTGGCATTCTTCCAAGTAGGTGTATGTTCAGATTTTAATTATGATTAATTTAATCTTACACCAGTCCTTTACATTTTAAATTCTTTARATTATAGTAGTGGTTATTATATTTTATCATATTCTTATATATATATATATATATATATATATAKMAGGTCCACATCAGCCGTTGGCTGTCGATGCAATATTTGTTTTAAAATTTTGTAAACCTAACCTGCTTTAACAAATAAAGGATTGGATTGATTGATGATTGAATAATATCAGGTAAAGGCCTTCCTGGCACATAAACACTGCCAAGACTATTTCTGGCCGCCATTCTTGGTCTTCCGGCTGTGTTAGCACTGATTAACCAATCAAAATGTCGTATATTGAATTTGAAGTTGACTGGAATTTTCATATCTTCGTTTTTGACGTTGTAAATTTCAACTGAATAATGAAATCRAAATTCGAAAATTCAAATCATTAATCGACTCTAGGGGTCAACGCGTGAGCTTGTTTGACTGTAAGTATTTTATTTCTCAATTGAGAAGGTTTTTTATCAAATGTTGCTCATTATAAGTGCGAACGGTCTATATATAGTTATTAACCGGGTTAATAACTATATACTAACCTCGCATTTATTATGAGGGTTATATGAAGGTTCAAACGCTAGGACAAGGTTTTGCATTAGAATTCAAGACAGAGGGCCGCAGGCCCGAGGTCTTGAATTCTAATGCAAAACCGAGCCCGTGCCTTTGAACTGGTTTAAAATATCAACTAAGCCCTAAATTCCATTGTTTTGATGCAAAACACGAAATACTAAATTATAATGAATTCAGAGAGATAGATTACTGTTGCTTTGTTCTTTTGGAAATAGAGTACAATATATCCGCGTTTGCACTCTATAAGCCTTTTCACAGTTTAAGTATCGATTCCACTGCGCATGCGAATCCCGAATTTCTACATTCTTTTGTCTAAACCTTCTTTGTTCTTAATTAAACAAAAGAAGGTGAGAAATTCGGGATAAAATCGCATGCGCAGTGGAATCGATCCTTAAACTGTGAAAAGGCTTATTGTTCCGATAGAAATAAAAATAGTATTGTTTTCATACCTTGCGTTCTCTCGGGCAAGTATAAGGAAAAGTAATTAAAAACCTATTTCGGGTTTATAATTCAGCCCCGTTCTTCCCTGTTGATATCAATTCTGCCCCCGGCTTTAAGAATCTGAGTTTTCTGCCGAATTTAAGAACCTACATCAAACAATGGATTTAGGGTGTGGTTGATTTTTAAAACAAAAATAAAGCCTTGTGAATAACAAAGAAAACCGTGTCAATTGAGAAATAATACAAATTAGATTAAAGAACTATGAACTGGGCAGAAATAGTCTTGACTTTCGAGGCCCAATCATATGGAATAGCCCTACCCAAATCCTGGCGGAGTACCCCCCCCCCCCCCCCGGGTTTATCTCGTGTCATGCGTGACCTAGACTGTGTGACATAATCCGCTTGGAATTCGATGACATAATCTCTGGAGATATTCAAAAAAGCAGTGAACTGAAGTCGTAGGTAAAAGATTGTCAAGTAATTCTAACAGAAATTCGAGCTTGTATTTCTCTTGTCATCAAGGAAAGAATGTACTCATTTGGCCCGTTTGCGTCATTTGATTCAATAGACCCTTGTCACACTAGCGTGACATTATAAGGTACTTAATTAATGGGGGGGAGGGGGGGAGAGTTTACTTTCAAATTTGTCACATCGGTAATAGTAAACTTGCAAAGTTTCGTAATGATTGCCCTTAAACTGACGAAAATATGAATTTTTTAGCCTAAGGCATTTTTGCAAAAAAAATGTATGCCAGTAACGCATCGCATGCTACAACAGCCTTGTTATCGGGCTAGACAAATGCATTTCTTTGCAAAAGTTCCACGACAATTCTTCCACGGTCAACCTTCCAGAATATGGAATAAATTTACTTTGTTTACTTCCAGAACACCAAGGACAAGATAATGACAAACGTGACCCACGTTAGGGCAAACTTAGTCCGTCTCAGGTCTCTTATGGCTGATTCTTCATATGTTGGGAAACCTCTTCAAGCTTATCTTGTACCAAATACCGATGCCCACCAAGTAAGATCTCTTTTTTATTTTATTTTTCTAATAAAAATATAGAATTTATTCTAATCGATCCGGCTTCATTAGCTAGACTGATTGTGCGCCCTCCGACGGTATCGTGCTCGCACGTCGTTCCGACAGCCGCTATTTCTTTTTGAGCTTGCATGCTCGGCGAAATTGAATTATTAAAATTATTTCGCCGAGCATGCGCAGTAAAAATTGGGAGTGACTTTCGTCGAGTATGCGCAGTAAGAATTAACGGCTCTGGGAACAATCTCGTACCCAGAGCCTGCGTTTCTTCTGGCCTGCGGCGAAGAACTAGGGCTCTGCCAGATCAGAAGAAACGCAGGCTCTGGATACGAGATTGCTCTGGGAACGATATTGGTCGAAAACATGGTCAACATTGTGGTTAACGTCCCGATTGCAGCCTATTATGAAAGAATAAGTCGAATAAGAATATTTTTGTCCTATAGAGCCAATACATACCCCAGGAAGATTGCCGCACTCATACAATCAGCGGGTTCTTCGCAGGAAAAGGTAACGAGAGAGATTGGAGTTCAAATTATTGTTTATACTTCAATGATTTTAAAAGAAACAAATAGAATCCAGAATCACAAATATATTTTCCTCTTGAAATCGACGTGCGTTGCAGATGAGAAAGGATTAACTGTGGTTACGGTCAGTCTGGGAGTCAGCAGCTAGTCTCTCCCTAGCTGATTCCTTCGTGTACACCTATTTCAATAAACATAAGACAGGCGATAGGTCATTGCGACATGGGAATGGTACGTTTCGTTGAATACAAACAACATTGAATCAGTCTCAACACTAAGTTCCATTTTCTTGACGAGAATAAGAAGCAGAAACACAAGCCATTGCAGCTATTCTTGGATCTTGGAATGACCAATCTCACATCGCATTTTGCCTATTGCCTATCGCCTTTGGCGATGACAACGTTTATCGAACGAAATACGTGTCCATATCAAGGGCGATTCGGCCTTAATAGACCTCTTTAGTTTGGGCGTAATGTTTTCCCATTTCAGACCACGTGTCATTCCTTTGAAGAATAATATTCTTTGTTTGAGTTGTATCCATATTCATGTGCCTTGTCAAGCACAACCGTTATACAAAGAAATGTTGCTCTAGGGAATGACACGTGGTTTCAAATGGAAAAACCTGGGGGGAACCTTTCGACCAAAGTAAAGAGATCTGTTACCTTCAGTTCGGACGTCCATACGGCGCCTCAATATATATCTACGGATATTTCAGAAATAATATTAGAGACCTTTAGCATCAGGTTTACCGCCTAGAAACACGCCCGCAAGCACGGAGAAACACTCAGCACCAATGAAATGCGATAAGACAGCTCTTCCAGCACTATGAACAACTTCGTTATGACGCCTTTCTAAACGTCGAAAGTTTGACGTAAAACGCCTGACGTCGAACTGTAGTTTGAGGTTTGCGGTACCTAGCAAGAAAGTCGAGATAAAGGTCTCTAATGTCTTGGAATGATCCTCAGCTCTGACTATAAGTTTTCATTCCCTCTCATGTAGCAACGTCAGTTGTGACATCCAACAAGGCAGTAGTCTGGACCAGCGTACTTTTCCATGACCAGGCACTGAACGATATTGACCGCGACAACTGGACTCCTTTCTTGAATGGTATGTATGAATAATAAGCTATTATATTATGCATTAGAACACCCATTATGAACTAAGCTATGCTTTTTGTTATAAGGTATACCCTCCAACCCCACTGTTGACGAATTCCTCATTAAGGTAAGCGTTATGTAAATGTTATCCATGCTTGATGTTAATTTTTAGATGTAAAGAATTCAAGAAATCACGATTTCTTTTCTTCTTTCATTCATCCTTTGCTTGCTTTCTTTTTTCCCGTTCCTCTTCGTTCGTTCGTTCGTTCGTTCGTTCGTTCTTTTCTTCGTTCCTAGCTTCGTTCGTTCGTTCGTTCGTTCGTTTGTTCTCTTGCTCGTGCTTTCGTCCGTCCGTCCGTCCATCATTCATTCTTTTTTCTTTTCATTCTTTTTTTGTTTCGTTGCTAGGAGCTTCCACCCAACTCACGAATTGGAGTCAACCCTCGCTACATATCACTGGGTGAGTAGTATCACATGAAATCTTGATAATATTTATTCACTATGAGTATTAAGAAGTTTCTTCTGTATTGTTTTCCATTAGATTCTTGGAAAGTTTTGAACAAGGTAAGACACAAATTAATATTTCATTATTAAATTTTATAACAGATGCAACCGCGTCTTGAAACTGAGTTCGCAGCCACTAAAATAGACTCCTTGCTCTAAATTCTTACCAGGGGATCAAAATTAGAAAAGATCTCAATTAAGGGAATCTTTTTATTTTGACCCCCAGATTGAGCTGCTTTGACGTCACATGCAAGGGGTCTATAGACTTCTGCAGCTTGGATGTAATGTCCCATTTCAGACCACGTGTCATTCTCTTGAGAATAAGATTCTTTGTGTGAGTTGTATCCATATCGAAGTACAACTGGTAAACGAAAACGCGATACTCAAGGAATGACATGGTTTAAAAATGGAAAAAAAATCCTCCAGTTAAAAGGGTCTTTTGAAGTAATATTTAAAGCTTAAGCCATAATCATATCGTACTTTCCCAGGCCCTCTCTATATCTGGCCACACCCTTGTTCCTGTGTCACGTGACTTGGTTGACGTCATAAGAGAAGAACAAGGAATAGTCTTCAAATCAAACCAAGAAAAATTTTTTGTTCTGGATTTGAAATATGCAGGTACTTTACAAGTTGAGAATTTTTGAAAAGTTCTATTCAAATTTCAGAAACAGTTGTGATCACGATAAGGGATAGAGCGCGCATGCGTATCAATGGCTTACGCATTTTTTTAAAAATATATCTCACAGGGAAATCTTGGCAGGACAAGGTTCAAGAAGTGCGAGAAACGCTCAAAAGAAAGAATGTCTTTGCAATTGTCATCTCCAATCTTGACGAGCTGGCCTGTGAGTACACCAGATCGCCAAGCTTATCGTATTGCGCATGCGCACCACCATTAATGTGGCTATCAGCGAGTTAAGGCAGGAATCCTAGACTAGTTAAAGGCTTTGGTTCGCACGTTAAGCAAAAGAAAATTTTCCTATTTTCCACTGCTGTACGATTCGAGTCTAGATTGTACATATAAAACCTGGAGTTTTGGCTTCCGTCAAATAAAGAATTACAAAGTTAGTACGATCGTCGTTGTTAGTTTGATGGACGGACGACAAACACAAGAAAACGTGCCGCGTTAGGAGATGTCTGGGTCTCAGAAACATAAAAAGCGCTCTTCTTATTCAAGTAGCAATGTAAAATAAGATAATATTTTTTTTGCCAGGGCTGTTCAATCTTCGTGGAAGGGATATCCAACACCATTTCATCTTCTATGGTTTTGCAGTAATTACACCTGACCAAATAAGGTACGCCTCGATTTTCATTCCTCAATTATTTATATCAATAACGATAACAATAACATTTTAAAAAATAAGAGGAAATTAAGGAAGAGAAGAAATCTGCGGCAGCAATTTTCGATGTTACCGAAAGGCCTCTTTATCCAGGCCTGAATTGATTTTGAACCAATCAGGTTCATTTTCATTGGCGTGGCGAGAGTACAAGAGTTGAAGTGGCTAGCACACGCGTTTTGCTACGAAAATTATTGCCGCCAAAACCACAGGAAGCCCGACGAAATAGAGAAAAAACGAAGCATTTCAGGCGTCTTTTAGTTGATCATTTGTATGCCTCCCCCCTCCCCTCACTACGTTCATGTTCTTTTCACAAAATGAATCCAAGCTAAAAAAATAGCATCAACCGGTGCCTATAATCGTTACAACCCTGAATATGAGAGATTGCTTCTCTTCTGTATTTTCTCTTGATTTGAATTATTTCCCTTTTCCAGTCTCTTCGTCGACGAGAGTAAAGTAACAGACGATGTTCGCAGCCATCTTAACGTGGACGGGAACCGCAAGAATGAAGAGAAGGTAGAAATCCGTCCATATGAGGACATCAAGGAAGCTGTCATGGAGCTGAACAAGCTAAAAAAGAGCGTTTGGGTAATGTTAAGATATAGTTTACCTAAGTTTTCGTTTAGCGGAGTCTGTACGTTTTCCTTTAAAATTTTATGAACGCCCTGAAACAACCTCTCAGGGGTGAACAAAGTCATGGCATGGCTGATTCACAAATCAAATTTAAAATTTAGCGTGTTAAGTCGCGATTACACGAAGCAATTTCCCGATACAACGGCGTTGCGACACAAGTTGCATGGAGCATTGCAGCGTGTAACCTACAGCGCAGTGTGAAAAAATATGTTGCGAGACAAGTTGCAGTTGCAGTAATCGTTTCATGTTTATTTATCAAAAATAATAGAATGAGTAATAGCCCCTTCACGGTTCCCTGCGCCATCTTGAAAGGTAGCCGGGCCTTTGCATCGAAGCGAGACGAACGGTGAGCTTGTAATGATAGAGACCTCTTTTTAACACTCTTTTTATCACACAATTTATCAGTTGAATTTTTCATCTCATAGATATCTCCTGACATAAATTCTGCCATAGGAACACTAATGGACGAGGTTAGTACATCGTCCCTCTCAGGGCTTTCTCTGCCGTCTTGGAAAGGCTATCCCTCAGTGGGAACGAGTATTGACACAGGGAGCCCACTTGACGTTTCCCCCCCTAAATACTCAGGATGTTATTTGCTTGTGTTTATGAATAGGAGCGCACGTTGATGGAATTGATACCCACTGGTCGTGGTAAGGCCGTCAAGAATCCTGTAGAGATCCAGGGAATGAAGGATTGCCATGTACGTTTGCAGATATATTTACATTATTTCTTCATTATTTTTGAAGGCTTTCTTCTGTATCCTCGCTAGCCCGCGTAATTGCCTGGTGGCCTAATAAATATCAAAGAGTTTAAGACAAATTTGCTGAAATTTTGTGTGTCACGAGTTATGAACGCGACGTGTCAGAATACGTGGAGCATAGTACGAGAATCTTGTGGATTGACTCCAGCTGCGTTGACCTTCAGAACAAACTCAAGGTCAACCAATCAGAATTGAGGATTCAACATCATATTTTGATTAGCATTTCCCATGATTCTGCAAAGGAAACCCTAGTCTCCCTCGCATCCGACCGACACTTAAAGAACCTAAGAGACTAAGAGAACCCTTGAAATATGAATTTTTCATTCTTTAAATTTGTCGTAAATGCTACCTGCAGTTGAACTCATGGTGGAATACTAGTTCATTCAACGCGAGAAATCTTCATCATACTCAGTCCCTGCTAGGAAATGCTAACCAAAAATATTTGACATATTATTCCTTTCGGGGAACTCAGCTAACTCAGCTGGCTTGATACGCTAGTACACGGAGTTTCATGGGGTATCAGTCAGTACTATGAGGCGCAGTTTTTCTTATGTTATCTCTTGTTTTTGTTTCTTGTAGATTCGTGACGCTGTTGCTCTCTGTGAGTTCTGGTCGTGGCTTGAACGAGAGGTGAAAATTGCGCGCTTGTTTTCCTAGTCATCAGAAACACAGGCCTTCTCTGAGATAAATAACATGGTGCATTGTGGTCTAGCTTGGGTGCAAACATCTTTTGTTTATCATGCCTTATAAAATGTTTGTTGTACTGAAGCTAGACGAACTCAGAAAAGACCTCTACAGCCACACATATCAAAAATTAACTTTCTCAAGTGTGTGGGTTAGTATTTGATTTTTTGTCTTTTTTTTTTACTTTAAAGATTCCTAAAGGTCACGTGACGGAGGTCTCAGCTGCTACACAACAGGAGGAATTTTGCAAGTATGAAGATAATGATAATATGATGATGATGATGAAAAAAGCTTTATCTAACATTAGTAATATACTGACAATTTGTTCATTCACACGAACTCTAGAGGTGGCTATACAAGCCAGTAAGGCCTAGGGCAAACGTCGAACTTTCCATGCACCGAACTCATTAAAAACAATGGATATCAGATGATAATGAGGCGGGATTCTTTGATGTAATTAAGTTCGGTGGATGGAAAGTTCGACGTTTTCCCTAGGCCTAAGCTATCTCTAGTAAGTAGTAAATTATTTGGTCATAGTAGATGAAGTATACAAATACTAATATTAGGATATTGTCTTATTCATGCTTCCCAAAGTTCACGAATGAAATAATGTAGACTCCTTGCATACACTAATTTCGATTCTTTTCCAATCAAGAAAATCTTAATTGATGTTGACATTTTTCATTGCTTTGACC